CCCTCCCCCTCCCCTCCCCTGCAGACACATTTACCCACGGCAACGCGGCCAGAGCCGGACAAACTGTGGTCTACACACCCACCGCCACCCTGTTGCGATCGCGCGGACACTCCCCCCGGCTCTCTCCCACCCAGGCCTTCCGGCAGCAGTGACAGCCGGTCCATCTCCCGGCGCCCTGCGCAGCACGCCGGCCGGGCGGGGGCAGCCCTGGGGGCAGGGGCGCGGGCTCCGGGGCGCGCCCCACCTCCTTCCCCGGCCCACAGGCACCCCACGCCCCGTCCCCGAGGGAGTCTCTCCGGCCGTACCTTCTGCGTGGCAGGGCCAGGGCGCAGTGCCGGCCTGCTGCCCCCCCTCGGCCACCCGAACGAGAGGCCCAGGAGATTCGGGCCCTCGAGTGCGGGCCTGCGCCGTCCTGTCCGGGTGGCTGCGTGCTATTGTCGACTGGAGAATGGCCGCCCAAATCCCAGCTGCGCTGCCAGAACCTAATCCCGTTCCGCTGAGCGTCGGTGGGGAGGGGCGGAGGGGCCAAGGCAGCGACCTAGCGTGCGGGCAGCAGGCACTGGCCGGAGCCCCTTCACAGACACAGGCACAGGGACCATCGGCCAAAGTGCAGGCCTGCCTCGCCTACACAACAGCAAGGGAAAGATGTCTGCCTCTTAGCAGGCAAAACCACGGCGTTGCCACCAGTGAGCAGGGACCCTCACCGGGCAGTTAACCCCCCTCATCTGACCTTCACTCACCCCTGGGACATTTATTGAACACCTGCAACAGGACCCTAGAAAGAGCAGGCCAGGATGAATTAGATACTGCTTTTACACTGAGGTAGCTTATCATAGTAACGAAATGTAACAAACATTCTATTTTAAGACAGTATGTGCCAAATGCACAAAGAAAAGGAAAAAAGAAAAATTGTAACTAACCTGGAAGGGGAGAGAAAGACTTAAAAAGACATTTAATATAGATCTTGACATACGTAGTCTAGAATTCTCCCTGGTGTGGACTCGGAGAGATGAATGAGCGAGAAGGGACTACAGAGGGGAGATGTGGGAGCAGGAGAACAGGCTAGAGGGCCTTGAACGTCAGACCAAGGAATCAACTACAGGTTTGAAAGGTTATTTGGTTGGGTTTTCAACACAGATGCAGTGTGATGAGAACTGTCCTTAAAGATGATTAACTGGTATATCAATGAATGAGACCAGCCAGCAGGGAGGTGAGTGGGGAGGCTGCCACAGCAGGAGAAGGTAATCAGGATGATATGGAGGGTGGGACAAGAAAGACTGGGATGGAAGAGGAATGCAGAGTCATTGTGCAGGCAGAATGAAGAGACTGCAATAACTGATTAGAAGCAGAGAGAGGTATAGCAAATGTTAGGAAAGTGCTAAGTGATGGCGAGGCCAGAGTTCAGTTAGGTGGGGACTGGGTGTGGGGCAAGCAGAATTCTTCAGTAGCAGCTAAAGCTTATTCCCTCACTGCATACAGCGTGCCAGGCATCATTCCACTGACCTATTGTGTATTAGCTCATCTGTCAGAAACGCTTTGTTAATGAGATAGGTACTCTATCACCTCCCTTCACAGATAAGAAAACTGAGCCACAGAGGCTAAACATTTTGATCCAGATTCCACAGCAAGAATGTTGCAGAATTTTGTACTGTTTGTTGCTAACTTTGTGAAAACCCCTCCTCCCCGCACATGATCTCTGAGCCTCAGGATCCATGTTAATAAAAATGGATAAAGATACTTACTTTATAAGACTATAATAAGGATGACAAAATAATAGTTT